CCCCCGACCTCCGCTCGAGCGCGTCCCTCATGACGGCGCTTCGCGCTTGGTGATGTGAGAGCCTGGTCCGGTGGGAACCCGGCGTGCTCCGTCCCGGCTTTGTAGGGATGCGAGGTCAACGGTCTAACGACTACGGCATGCACGACTATGAGTGCACGCCCCCCCTCCCCCGCCGCTCGCCATGCTCCGCATTTGGAGCACGTAAGTGTTGCTTGCGGCATCGTTAGGGTGCTGCGGCCAGTTAGTTGTCGTAACTTTGTTGCTCCTGCAGGATTTTAGCTTGTTCTGCTTCGGCCCTAGGCTGTTTGACACCCCCTCTTCTGGAGACAATTCATTCGCGGGGGCCCCACCGCATCTCTGTGTTGCTCTTCCTGCCCCCTCTCCCCCTGGTCCATGGCATGGTGCACTACACCGTTCGTTCTCGCCTTGTGTCGGCCGTTGTTGGGGGGCTTGAGCTTGTAGAACCATGGTGGGAAGTCGACAGCAGTGGCTGTTCATGCGCGAGGACACTGGCGCCTCTCTCTTGAGCGGACTATTGCGGCAAGCCACAGATAAACAGGTGTGCCGCCGCCTTTTGCCATTTCTCGACATACGCCCTCGGACAACCCCCTGACTTGAGTGGCCATGCTCTCCCCTCGCCCTTCTTCCTGCCGTTATTCTTCTTGTTCGTCCGGAGGGTAGAAGACCGAAAGGAGGACCAAGGAGCGTATCGCCCGCTTCGACGCCGAGCACCGTGCTTCCGCACCCACGTCTTCGTCATCATCATCGTCATCGTCGTCTCTGCTGAGCTACTTCGTCTCCCACTGGGAGAAGACCGGAGGGGAAGCAACGGAGGACGAGGACGAAGAGGAAGAAGGGGAGAACAAGCAGAAGCAGAAGGAGAAGGAGAAAGAGGAGGTGACAGAGGTGGCGGAAACAGCGGCGGCGGCAGCCGCGGCAGTGGTGAAGGGAGGGGCGACGTCGTCGAAAGCGGCGGCGCAGCGCCGGGGGAAGGCCACCCAGCGCAAGGGCAAGGCAGCGGCGAAGCGAGGGAGCAAGGCAGCAGCGAAGAAAGGGAGCAAGGCGGTGCAGCGACGGAGCGGCGACGGGGAGAAGAGGGCCGGTGCGATGGAGCAGTTCCGACTGCTGCTGGCAAGGTCTTGGAGGCAGGTCAACCGCGCCAAGTTCGCCAACGCCACCCGGGTGAGGGGGGTAGGGGGGCAAGAAGCGATAGATAGTCTAGACGTTCTTTTGTGGCCTTTGCAGGGTGCGCCTCTCTGTATCGCCTGATGTGTGCGCGTGCGAGAGGGATCAATGTAGGGACGAGTCGGCGGAAGAGGAGAGATTGAAGAAGAAAAAGTGATGTTGTGATGGGCTTGCTTGCGGATCAGGCTTGTTGACACCATGCAGCTGAGGAACGAACGAGCTGTTGCGAGAGAGAGAGAGAGAGAGAGAGAGAGAGAGAGAGAGAGAGGCGACTGAACGGGTTGTGCCATACAACCATCTAGAATTTCGCAACCATGGTTCGTTCATCAACGCGACATGCCTCAGAAAAAAAGTCGGAAATACCAAATGGTATGGATATGATGCAGTACTCTGTGCATATGTAGCGGCAATGACCGGCCAATTCCGACGTCGTTGATATCCCTCTTCTCCGCTCCAGGCCCTACCAACCTCCACCTGTTTTCTTCATCTTCGACCAGCGCCAGTGTCAACTTCCTGTCGTCGTCGCAATCAATCCATCCTTGGAACTCGCAAGCCTTTAATTCATGGTCGAAAATTATCCGCGATCACTGAAAGACTACCCGTTCGAGATAACATCAAAGTCGAAGGAGGTGTTCTGCAAATGTTTGCAGTGAGTGGGGGGAAAACTCCCTCCATTTCATTTTTTTTTATGAGTTTCTGGTCGAAAAACGGCCACGTGTGTGTTGACGGTGGCCGTGACGGTTTTCCGACGAAAACCCAACCACCTCCTATTGAACCTTCCAGCGTTTTGTTTTGTTTTCCCCCGCTTTGGCTGGTCGACCTGCGGGCAACTGTAACACGACGTGACGATAATAAAGGTGGTCGCCAACCTCGGGTCCGCGTTGGTGTTCGGCAGCATCTTCTGGAAGCTCGGCATGGGCCAGTCGCACATCAACGACCGCATCGGCTTGCTACAGGTGGGGTTGTCGTTGGAGCTCTCTTAAAAGAACGTCGAGTGGCTTCGCAGGCAGGAATGATGTGGCGTCGGATGTGTGTGTATTCGATCTGTTGCGGTTTAGGCGTGTGTGTGTGTTTTTCCATTTCGAAGTCGAGGCTGTCGTCCTCAGCTTCTCGCCACTGCTGTGGGACGCGTGGAGACGATGGATGCTACTCCGCCTTATTCATTCCTGAAAACCCCCCTCTCCTCAACTCCGTGGCGTAGCCTGAGCCTTGTCTCGAGTTGAATCTGACACATACGATGTAGGAACGCACCTGGAGAGCGAGTAAACTGGACATGTACGCACTATTTGCACGCATTGTTTTGTGAGGCGACAATGCTTTTCTACAGTCCACCGTCTCCCGGACGCTCCGCGATCCTGACGCTCCGCGATCCTGTAGTTCTGCAGGCGTGCTTGCGGTACGTGATGCAAGATACCACACCCCATTGACCGAACTCTAAAGCGAGATTTCTCCAGCGTGGCGGTGCCGAAAAGTCCATGATTGGAACCGTCTTGTCGAGAGCGTATCGAAGACGTACTGTTTGCTTTACATATCTTCTTCGTCGCGGAGAATTCGAGCATTGACCATCGGTCCAGGGGGTGTGATATCTTACGTCACCTTCGGTACATGGGCGCCTTCCGCCTGCTTTCTTGTGCGGCGCGACGCAAAACAATGCAATTGTTTTTCTACCTTTTTCACTCAGTCTCAACGGCCTGTCGGGACGTCGTTCTGACGCACAGGCAACAACTGAGCATACACATCCCCCCCCCCCCCCCTCTT